ATGTATACAAGGATAAATATTTTCATCCATAATTATGAATGAACGAAAATTTGTTTTGAGGATATGCATAAAACTCTAATGAGAGGTTCTTGCGATGATGTTTTTGATCTAGAATGCGCAAACACGACATACAGCGTGCACAAAGTTTCTTCATAATCAAATACTGGTTAAGATTATATGCACGCGTTCAGTTCATGAAGTCTACTACTGCTGTTATCGCTCCAAACAAAACGATTTTGTGGGTGTTCTGACTCAGTTATTTCCTTGTTATCGCAACAGGATTTTCACTGTTTTTCTCTCTTCTTTTGCCCAGCTTTAAACTAGGCAGATTACTTATGATCGGTTTTAAACTGCCGTAAAGCATTAATAAGAATTGATCCTAATTACCTTCTGATAGTATTGCAGAGAGACATTAGGTTGTTTCGAAGCAGGAAAGATGAAAAATATGCGACACCTTCGCCGGGAATCGAACCGCGGACCTCTCAATTACGCGCTGAGCGTGCAGGCCACTACACCACGAAGGCTCGCTAAGAAGGCGGTAGAAATACCTTATGGTACCGTGAATTTCTTTCTTTCTATATATTTACAGTTTAAGGTATTTCTCCCACTTTCCTAGCGTGCCTTCGTGGGGTAGTGGTTCTGCACGCTGGGCCGGTATTCCAGAGGTCTGTGGTTCTATTCCCGTTGAAGGCGTTTGCTCAATTTCTCATCTCCGGCTTCCAAAAATCCTAATGTCTCTACACTGTAAAATCGTTTCGCTGCTCCGACTGATCATCAACAAGAAAGGAAAAAAATGTCAACCCAGGATTTGGCGACTGGGTCCCCTAAAAACCCCAGTCGTCCTTTAAAAGGGGAGTATATAAGGTATTTCTCCCACTTTCCTACCGTGCCTTAGCGGCGGAGCGTAAAGTCGCTGAACACTGGTAGTTCTGTCCGAGGTTCGAATCCCGCGAACAGGCTCGCTGCATGGGTGTTTTCGTGGTTTTCCCCATGTGTAACGTGTATACGAGCCAGTTTCCCTTAGAAAGTCCTCCACGAAGGCATCCCTTCCCTTAGGCAGATAACCCTAGTGTGCTTTGCCATAATTGAATACACACCACCTAGCGTGCCTTCGTGGTGTAGTGGTTCTGCACTCCGGGCCGGTATTCCAGATGTCCGTGGTTCGATTCCAGGCGAAGGCAGTTGCTAATTTTTCATCTCTCCGGCTTCCAAAAATGTACAACAGAAATGTTGACTAGCCCTTTTCGACAAGATTAGTAAAGAGTACTATGCAAATTGCGAGTTATAGTGTGTGACAGCTGGTTTTACGAAAGATGGAACATAACTCAAAGAATTTGTTTTTAAGTAACGTACAGTTTATTCTACCGCCCAAACGGGATAGTGGTTAGTGACACTAACTGCCGTCCCAAAGACCCCGGGTTCGAATCCCTGGAAGGCACGGATTGTGTCTTTCTTATCCTGTAACGTGAGGGCACTGATCAGTAGGAAACCTTTGGACTACAACCCTAGGGCTGCTCTCTCTCAAAATTGGGAGCAGAATCTGATCTAAAATAGGGCTGTTAGTCTATACGGTGCTCAGGGCTCTTGCCAATGACAGGAGCATTTAACTCCTTGCCACAATGAATGTTGTGACCTTGTGCTGACCTTTGTCAGACAAATGAGATTGGTCAGTTTATTCTAAAGAGACTGATAGGTTTTTGGAGCAGTAACTGTGAAGAATGAATTGTGCTTTGATCATAAATGAGGTGTGATAACTGTGATAGTAATGATAATTGTAATAAAAATGATCATAATTAGGGATCATAATGATGACTATTGCATGAAACCATAATTGTTTTTCTCTTTGCTCTCTTTCCTTATATTTTCGTGTTGAAAAACGGATATGGTTTCTGAAGGATAGAGCATCTGATAATATTAAAAATTAAATTAAATTTTAAACTGTTAACTAATGTGTCTAGTGTTTTATATCGCACATTTCATTAAGTAATTTAAGCTATTATATACATTTAACTAAAAATCGTTTAACTTTGCCTAATAACAATATTCTGACAAAGGGGCTATATGCGAAGATAAATTAAACATCTTATGTTCTACACACAGTAGCAGTACTTGCCAAAGAGAGTAAATGATATAGCTATGTTAGCGTTACCTAACAAAATGGTGCAAGCATATCGAAAAGTGTCTGCTAAAGAACCTTTAACCGTCAAAATTTTCAAAATTGTTTAGCTTTGTTTTTATCGTTACGGGAATAAAAATTAAATCAATCAGTTTGAAATCAGAAGTAGGAACTATTCCTTAAAATGATAACGTCAATAATACGAATAACGATTAAGATTTAAATTAAAAAATCTGACGTGTACACCACATGACTTCCTTGTACGGAATATTAAATTATACGCATTTTTTCTTGAATTTCATTTAAACTTATTGGATTGAAATAAATCTACTTCTTCGATAGCGCATAAATCACAATAGAATAAGCGCACTCTGTAAAAATCACTATATTTTGTTTACAATAGCGACATTCTGGCGCTAGGTTCACTTAACAGCGTTACATTTCATTCATTTTTTAACTCAGAATGCACAAAATTTATATTATCTGAAGAATTATCTAATCGTTGCCACATGTTCTATACAAATACTATAATAAATCTAAAATCATCTATAAAAAATTAAACAAATAAACAAAAAAATAAACAGTTTTTCACAGACGATTCAGTATTCCTCATTCAATAAATTCAGTTCTCACTTCGCGACGAGGCAGAAATACATAAAAACTCAAAAATATCTATATTAAGAATTACGAAATAAATCTTAAACACTTATTTTCTCGAATAAATTCCAGAATGGATTAAGCATGATTTAATCAGCAATAATAAAAGAAGGCGTTATCTTCGTTGTTGCGAAGCATAGTTCCTCTAGATTGGCAACAAATCCATTATTCTGCAAAGTTTCAAATGTTAATCACTTTAAAATCAGAAGTAGGAACTATTCCTTAAAATGATAACGTCAATAATACGAATAAACATTAAGATTTAAATTAAAAAATCTGATGTGTACACCACATGACTTCCTTGTACGGAATATTAAATTATACGCAAACATGGCCGCTATAGTAAAAATAATTAGGCTTAGCCGCACTCAAACAACTTTTACATTGTTGATAATTCTATAAATATTGCATGCAGTCCTATATACAAAATTTCAACGCTCTGAGGCTACTCGTTTTTGAGTTGAGTCCTATATTCTGTCCTTACGTCAGATGTTACGCACAAACATCGTTAAATTGCATTTTGTAGCGGTCAAAATGGATATTTTCGTTGAAATATGATACTCGAAATTTTTCGCGATTACAATACTTCTTATTTACTTCGTGCAATTAAGTTAAAGCAATGCAAATATTTTAATGTGATCAAGCCTTATGGGTTATACTACTTTTTTTGAAACTAGCACAAGGATAATTAAAAATATTTATAGTCAACTGTAACATTACTTTAATTTGCCAAAAGCATAGCTTACAAATCGGAAATTTTTAATTAGCACCAACAAATTAAATAGTTTCATTTCGTGAAAATCAGTCATCCAACTTGCCATCAGATAAAGATATACACTGAAAATAAAATGTCCCATACTATATATCAGGTATCATACATGATAATAAGCTCATTACTTCACACCTCATGTTGCCAAATTTTAAAATAAATATAATATTTCCATTAGCAAACTTAAGACATCTGCTGGAAAACAGCAGTTTCTTTTCATTATAAAATACATGAAGCCCACCGGCGGCCGAGCGGTAAAGTCGCTGAACACTGGTAGTTAGGTTCGAATCCCGCGAACGGGCTGGCTGCATGGGCGTTTTATTGGTTTTTCCCATGTGTAACGTGTATACGAGTTTCCCTTAGAAAGTCCTCCACGAAGGCATCTCTCCCCTTAGGCAGACAGCCCTAGTGTGCTTTGCTGTAATTAAATAAAGCAAACCAAACCAATCATTATAAAATACTATATACAACACCATACACGCATATTTTGCGTTTCTACCGCATGGTGATAGGCCGAAAAATAAATATATATAAATGCAAAATCTACAAAATAGAGCCTTCAGAGTAACACTTAGTGTGCCTTCGTTTGTAAGAAAAAAACACATTACAAACCGATGGAAAAGAGAAACAGTCAAATTAACCCCCAAAACGGTTGGTTTGGTTTAGTTTTATGAGATTACGGCAAAGCACTCGAGGGCTATCTGCCTTAACGGAGGGATGCCTTCGTGGAGGACTTTTTAAGGGAAACTGGCTCGTATACACGTTACACATGGGAAAAACCACGAAAGCACCATGCAGCCCGTTCGCGAGATTCGAACCTCGTACCGAACTACCAGTTTTCAGCGACGTTACCGCTCGTCCGCGGGTGGGCAACCTCCAAAACGGAACACAATTTTTAGTGCAATATTAAACATAATTTAAATTCAAAATAGTTAATGAAACGCAACCGCACACTTAGCCAATATTCTTCTTCTGTAGCAATTAGCATCATCTTAAGATGGCATTTTTTCCTGTCTTTCACACACAAAAAAAATTTTATGTTTTTTATGGACATCTATTGACTTATTTTTACACTTCATTCTCGCTGTTCGCAACGGAATAAACAAGGATAATTTCTGGACTCCAAACTACCACATATTCTTATGTATCAATAAATGAATGCAATGAAAATATATTATTATATTTTTTCCGTTAACTGGACTATATCTGTGCCCTTCATCTTAATATTAAGACATAAATATAAAACAATTAAAGAAAATGTAACAACTTTTAAAATATTTTACGTAAACAACCACAATTACGTTCTATTTCATTGCGCAGTCCCTTACGTTTAATTACCTTGAAACTGGCACATATAATATGATTAAAATAATTCAAATTTGATTTTAATAAAAGCATAACTTCGAAAATCTTGCAACAATTCTTCGCTTTGACAAATATAAAATTAGCATCACTTACCATTATGCGAAAGCTTTGTTAGTTCTTCCATTTTTTTATAATGGAAACTACCCTCACACTTAACATTTAAATTTCACATTAATGCATTTTTTATGCTTTCAGCTGTCTCACTTTGTTGAGCACTTTGATAAATAAAAGACTGCCTAATGCGAGAGTGTGATATCATCATGACGTCTGCGATAAGAATGCACATCCGCTTATCAGCATCACGAGGTGATTAGATTATCACAGCTTTTTACGACATTTAAAAGATAATAAAGCCCGAGTTCCATGTTTCTTCGAAATTCAAATGGAATAGCATATGATGCAAATAAAAACTATTCTCATGATTCTGACAACTTTTACTTTCAGCATATGCAGTGCTTTTGCACTAAAAGCCTTATTAACTATCGATTTATACTGAATATTGATTTATAAATATAGATGTCGTCTTGTTCCGCACTATTGTACAGATAAGCTAACAAATTTATAAATCTCCCTGGAGACCAATACATGTAGTCACATGTTTTGATTTTGTGATATTTTAGATATGAAGGGTGTTTGACATCAGTCATGTGTTATTAACAAGCGATCTTGGGTTATTTTCTTTTAATATCTTCAAACCGATTAATTATTTAATTAATAGTAGATATGCAGAATGCTTGTTAAAAATGTTTATTACTTGTTAAAACTGGTCATTTTTACTTCCTTGTACGAAGTAAAAAGGAAGTACTGTAATCGCGAAAAGTTTTCAACGAAAATATCCATTTTGACCGCTTTCGAATGCAATTTAACGATGTTTTTGCTTGATATACGTAAGGACAGAATTTACCATAGTGATAAAAGAGTCTCTTATTCTGTACGTAAGGACAGAATAAGAGACTCTTTTCCTCCAAAAAAATTATAAAACTGCTTTAAAATGAATTCTGAAGAGAATTTTTCGTGGCGTCTGTACGAACGTATGTACGTATCTCGCATAACTCAAAAACGAGTAGCCTCAGAACGTTGAAATTTTGTATATAGGACTGCTATAACATGCAGATGTGCACCTCGTATTTTGGTAGCAATCGGCCTCACCAAACGTATATAAATATATTTATATATATATATCCAGTCTGTTACCCGGCTCAGGGATCTCAGTTTCTTTACTCTTATATATTTGTAAATTGCACATTTTTTGCTTTAAAAATGATTGAATTATGCTGTTCTTATCTTTCGGTTAAGGTTTTTATGACTTTAATAAATCTGTATGCAATATTTTTAGAATTATCGACAATTTTAAAGCTGTTTAAGTGCCGCTAAGCCTAATAATTATTTTGATGGCGGCCATTGCTTGTTTACATTTGAATCAGCAGAGTAGTGGATTTGTTGCCAATCTAGAGAAACTTAGCTTCGCAACAACAAAGATAACACCTTCCTTTATTATTGCGAATTAAATCATGCTTAATCCTATTTGGAATTTTTTCGAGGAAATAAGTGTTTAAGATTTAATTCGTAATTTTTAATACAGATTTTTTGAGTTTTTATGTATTTTTGCCTTGTCGCGAAGTGAGAACTGAATTAATTGAATGAGAAATACTGAATCATCCGTGAAAAAATGTTTCTTTTTTTGTTCCTTGCTTAATTTCTTTTATACATCGTTCTAACTTTATTATAGTATTTCAAGAGAACATGTGGCAACGATCAGATAATATAAATTTTGTGCATTCTGAGTTAAAAAATGAATGAAATATAATACTGTTAAGTGAACCTAACTTTAGAATGTCATTATGGTAAACAAAATATAGTGAAGTTAACAGAGTGCATTTATTCTATTGTGGTTTATGCGCTATCGACGAAGTGGATTTAATTCAATCCAATAAATGTAAATGAAATGCAAGAAAAAATGCGTATAATTTAATGTTCCGTACAAGGAAGTCATGTAGTGTACACATCAATTTTTTTTTCTTAGCTATTGAAAAAAAGTCCTGTTCTTTGAATTGTTAAGTTTCAAAAAATTATTGGAGAATTTTATGAAAATAGTTTCAATGCCGTAGATGGGAGTTTTGCTAAGGATAAATATAAACATTCATGTAATCACCATAGTAAACCTTTCAGTTTGGCTTAATAAGTTAAAAACAAAAGTTACTAATATTTTTCGCCAAAATTCGTGAGATACTCCAGAATCAGAGAGCAATAATCTTGTGTTTGGCGTAGATTTTACTCAAGATATAAATTGATTTCGAGGGCAAAGAGGTACAGGTCCTCTTCATCAGGAGCAAAGAAATCTGCAAGACTGAAAAGCAGCCAATAACGAATTAATGCTGTATTAATTCGCGAAGAGCGATGTTACCTGGGTTCAACTGTTATATTTATACCCTACAGCAGCAAAGCAAACGACAAAGTATCGCCATCTGTCGGCAGAAATAGCAACGAAAGTGAACAATTAAGTTAATGGAATTTTAAAAGTGTTAAGAAGAACTGAATTGGACTTAAAATAATTAACTAAGCAAGGTAATATTTTTTAATATGAGAATCTTCAAGAAAATACAATTCTCCAATTGAAGAAGCTTTTTGAATAAGTTTTGCAGATCAAAAGACACAATTATGATTAGTTTTCCATCTATGCTGGCAACGGAAATCGCCACTTTCAAAGCTTGTTTAAGTCGAAAAAATGCGAAAATGTGATATTTTAAAATGTTTGAAGTTTCCGTGTATATTCCATTCCGTTCATGCTCTACAGTCTCTAAAATCCTGATGTCTCTACAGTGGCGCCCGAACTGAAAGGGTTGTGGATGATGACTCTCCACACCCAGGATTTAGCGATTGGGTTCTCTAAAAACCCCAGTCGCCCTTTAAAAAGGGGAGTATATAAGGTATTTCTCCCATTTTACTAGCGTGCCTTAGCGGCCGAGCGGTAAAGTCGCTGAACACTGGTAGTTCGGTCCGAGGTTCGAATCCCGCGAACGGGCTGGCTACATGGGTGTTTTCGTGGTTTTCCCCATGTGTAACGTGTATACGAGCCAGTTTCCCTTAGAAAGTCCTCCACGAAGGCATCCCTTTCCTTAGGCAGATAGCCCTAGTGTGCTTTGCCATAATTAAATACACTCCCTTTTGGTAAGGCCTTTGACAAATTGCTTCATCAAGCCTAACTTGATATGCAGAGATAGAAGAACTTTATGCGGATGTATGAGAGCTTTTTGGAGCACACTCTTGGTTCCAGTTCTTAATGAAGCCTACTTGGCCGATCTTTCTTTATCCAATGATTTTCTCTGTCTCTGCTATCCCATTCACACACACACACACACACACACAAAAAAAAAAAAAAAAAAAAACAAGGAAATTTTATATACCCTTCTCGCGGTCCTAGGAGCCACTATTTATCCATCAACTGTGAAAATTTAAAAGCTCCTTAAAAATGACTGAACAAGTGATCTAATTATTTTTAAACTACATATATAGACTTCCACAAGATATGGACATTCTACATATGGACATTCTTTCACTCTCTTCAAGACATGGACTCCTACATATAGACTTTTAGATAAACTTTTTATTTTAATTTTATTACTTTATTAATTTTACTACATATAGACATTCTACGTATGGATATTCTACATATGAACATTCTTCTGCATTCTACAAGATATGGACTTTTACATATATTTATATGTTGAATTCTACGTAGACTTTATGTTTATATTTTATTTTTATTTTAAACGTTACCTGAGTTGAAAGTTATATTGTGCATTCAACATTTCTAATTATTTATGTTTTGAACATTAACCAATTGTAACGTTATATGTACACTAAATTGTTTTCATAAATGCCGCTGAGCTGCAAATAGCGGATAGTACCCATTAATAGAGCATACAAACCTAAAGTCTAAATGATGGTGCGGTTGCTCTACTGGTGGTCTTCTAACTGTCTTCTGTCCTAGGAGTATCGATATCATTTTGAGATCGCCTCATGGAATCCACATATGATCGTCGTATTTAATTTTATCGAAAATGAATTCCAAGGTCTTCGTACCGCTGTTTTAAATGGACAAAATTTACGACGGGTATTGATACATACGCAGTCCCATTGTAAAGAAGGACAACCCCTTTCAGGACGGGCATCCCATATACGCATTCCCTAAGAACGTCTCTTACAGCCGGGCGTCCCATCCACGCATCAGTAAAGATCGCATTCAGAAGACGGGTGATGCGTATACGCATTTTAAGGTGGAACGTTTTTCTGATGGCCACTAGATGGCATCCTGTGTCCATTACTTTTGAAATGAACACAGTTTTAGGTTCCTGACCTTGAGTTTGATATATTCTACTTGAGTTTGGTATTTTACTCATCAGCTGTTCGAGGGTGGGGGGATGCGGAGGGAAAGCGTAAGCAGAGGTGGGCTCCTTAAATCGCTGCGTGCTAATGACAACTTTGGAACTTTCCGGTTATACTGGCTTTCAGCAGGAAATTAAAGTCCTGCTCTTGCCAGTTCCTGATGTGATCCCATGTGGGGCCTGACAGAGTAGAAACCTGAAAGAAATTTTCTCTCGTGGAGGTAGAAATGTGCTGGAGAGAGAAAAAGAGAAAAAGAAGCACCTTTGCTCCTGTACTGCTTACATCTTGGATGGAATCCGCCAAGCAGGGGCCGGAGAAAGAAACTTCGGATGACCTATGTAGGATAGCCCGAATACTAACTGTTCATTCGTCGGAGCCAGTCACGTGGGAGGTCACCCTCCCAGAAACTGACCCCGATTGATGCTGCTTGAAAACCAGAAAAACTGGAACTTAGAATTCTGAACTCAAGAGGTGGGCGGCAAATGGGCGGAGGTTTTTGTCTTCAGCCAGGATTTCGTAGATAAGAATGTCCGTGAAATTAGCGGGATTCACATTGATAATATTATTAAAAAGGTTGTTGTTTATTCTGCTGAGGTAATCCTGAATAGTATCTATTTTCAAGTCGGAGTGGAGAGTCCTATTCCGAACATAGTAAGGAGCTTTTGTGATGATTCTTAGCACCTTATTTTGAAGCACTTGGAGTTTGCTAATTTCGTTTGCTTTGTAGTTTGCCCAGGCTGGGGAAGCATACGTGAGAATGGGTCGGATGACAGTTTCATAAATCCTCTTTTTCAGTCTGAGGGTGAGGTTTTCATTCTTTAGGAGAGGAAAAAGCCTGAAAATGATCCCGTGTGCTTTTCCGCTTACTCTAAGCATATGATCCTTCCAATTGTAGTTCTTGTTAAGGGTAACTCCCAG